ATTTAAAAGAATTAGAATTATTTAAAATCAATGGTTTAGATCAAATTATTGACATTGAAGAGAAAAAATATACATGGCAAATGTTGTTAAATATTGATGTAATTTTTATATTTGGTCTTTTACAAATAATTGGCGGTGTTATTCTTGAATTATACAGTGTTGGAATTGGTACTCATATTGCAGCTGGTTTAATATCAGAAGGAATTAGTGATATTTTTTACACATTTTATGCTGTAAAAACTGGCTATTTTAATTGGAGTGATTATGTCCTATATAAAATAAAAAACATTATGATGACACTTGCAACTGTGGGAATTGGCGGTCTTATTGCAAAAGGTGTGAGATATTCACGTTTTGGTTCAAAATTAGTTGGAAATACTGGAAATTTGTCAAAACTTTCTGGTAAAAAATTATTAGATGCAGTAAATACACAAGGATTGAACGGTATAAAAAATAATGTATGGAAAAATGTTTGGGGTAGAGCGGGAATAAAAATTTCACAAGGTATTGCATTTGGATTAGCCAATGCAGGTATTTCATTCTTATCCGATAAATTACTTAAAGGATATTGTAGTAAAATTATTAGTGAATTATTTATAAAAATTCGAGAATCAATTGAAGATAAGAAAAAACAAATTTATGAATCATTAAAAAATATTTATAAAAAATTTGGTCGTCAAAAAACGGTAAAATGGTTATCAGAAATAAATGAAATATTTAATGCAGATAAATGGTATGAGAGAGCATATGAATGGTTAAAAATATTGACAAATACAATTGTATGTGGAATTAGTAATGGTATAAATAAAATTAAACAAGCCACTGGAAATTATGATTCTAATTATAAAACAACATTGTTTATAATAGCGTTTAATGCTGTAATGAAAGGTACGACATATGCAAAAGCAATGTATAATGCTAAAAGTCAAACAGAAAATTTTATTGATGATATAATAAAAAAATTAGAAGAAAAAGTAAAAGAATGTAAAAAGGAAAAAAATGATCATAAAAATATTAATGAGAAAGAAATAAATGATTTTATTGATAAAACAACAGATGAATGGTGTAAAACAATTGAAATGAAAATTGATACAGATGTAAGAATAAAATTAATTGAACCAATTTTATGTGATGGTGCAAATATGATTATAAAACAATTAGAAAAAACTATAAAAAAATTTCATGAACAACGAAAAGAAAATCAACTTTGGAAAAAATATGAACATAATAAAAGTAAATATGAAAATAATAAAAAAAATTTAACGAAAAATGATAATAAAAGAAATGAAAATTCAGAATATAAAGAAATTTTAAATAAAATAACAAAAAAATATCATCAAAATTTAATGGTTATTATGGCAAAATCAAAAAGTCCAAAATTAGTTGCACGTATTGTTGAACATGGTGGTCCAATGGATATGATTTGTATTCAAGCAATGGCAAATAAGATTGGTTATCCAATAAAAATAAAAAATGCAGATGGAATAACATTTCCGAATTTAATTTGTCCAGAAGGATACAATATGAATAATATAACAGATGCAGATTGTCATTCAATTGAATTTTATCCTGGTGATGGATTAAATACATTTGGACATTTTACTTCATCAAAAAATACAAATGGAAATGAAATTATTAACAATAATAATAATGACAATAATTGTTTCATTTATGGAATTTTAGGAGGAGATAAAACAACAATTGATGCAAATGAAGTACGAAAATCACTTGCAAAAGAAATAGAAAATAGTCGCCTTATTAAGGATATGATTATTAATGGTTATCATCGTTATTATATATCACAATTTGGTTTTGGTAGTCAATTACCAGATGATGTAAGAAAATTGAAAACGATGGAACTCCCTGAAAATTTTGAAAATGAACTAATAGGGTTAGTTGGTAAACATGGTGATCGCTCATATGGAATGTCATCGCTATCTAAAAAAAACGTAAGAAAATCAGAACATCTTATTCCAGCTTCAGCAATGGAACGATGGTGTAAAGTAATGTGCATTAGACATATTATTGAAACTGAACATTCTCAGCTAAATGAAAATGAAAAAGACCTTTTATTTAAACAATTAATGAAACCAGAATCAGTAATATCAAAAGAGAAATTAGATAAATTTATGATATCACGTGAACAAATGTTTACAATTTGTATGACTTATACTGCTCATCATGATTCAAAAACAAATTGGAGTAGTTTTACACATAAAGGTAGTGAGAAATGGAAAGAACTAAACGGATATATCGATGCTTTTAAAAATTTTGATGATAATCAAAATTATCTAGTCTTGGAAAAATGTATAAGTCAATATTCTCATCTATTCGATGATCCAAAATATCCTAACGTGAAACCAGGGGTTTTGGAATACTTGACACGAACTATGAAAGAAACGAAATTTATTAATTTGAATCAATTCAATGAATTAAAGCGAAGATTTCAATTGACAGATATTCAAAATGTTAATCCGATGGATCACATATCAAACAATCATGATAACTATGAAACTGTTTATAACGTCCTTAAGAGGAGTTTATCAACAAGTTTACCACGGAAAGATCGATCAAGGAGACATAGAAGTGACTCTGGTATAGTATTACCGTAAAATATTATATAATAAACGTCTTAATATCAGTTGCTCACTCAATTTTATTCCCATTTTCTATTCGTTTTTTTGTCTACGGCTTGGCCAAATGTTACGGACTTTCATTTTTTCGTCTTCTGTGCCCCTTATCTCGAATCTCGATAAAGAAGCAATGTTTATCAATGAAATTTATACCAGTGCTGGATATTAGGAAGTTCTACTACAAAAATAATTTGAATTTGATTGCACAAGCGAATTAAAAGTAATAGTCAAAATAGAGGCCGTTACGGTATTTCAAAAAATGGAAGTGTTTTTCGGCGTGTTTCAGGAAAAATTCTTTAGCCTTAAGTTAATTTTAAAGTGATTGCTTAATTACAAAATTAAAGCTCACAGTTTGGGCTATCAAAATCACTACTGACTTTTTCTTGTATTAGTTCCCTGGCAGAGGAAATTGAATAAAAATGACTGTTACGGAATTTCACCGTTTTTTGCTCTTCTTTGCAGATGGTTAGGTATATATTTTTTCTGTCACAGAACTGCTCAGCAAACTCTGATTTGCTGATCCGAAGGTGGACCGTTAGCTGGCCACGCCGTCTAGCGAGTTTTCCTGAACTATTGAGAAAACTGCCTATGTCACTATTCTACAAATGAACGTGGTTGCACCAATAATTGGCACAATAAAAATGCTAGACAAACCTTGAAACTTTAAGAATTGCTGCGATCATATTTGTATATGTCATCCCCATGAGGACTTTTCCGATAGAAAAAAGCGCCTTCTCCGCGATAAAAAACTTATCGTATCCGTTGTCACACTGCGATATGTCCGGATACACATTACACGGCGATATACGCAGCTGCTTCTTTTAGACAGATATATCCCAGTATATCCATGCCTTACCGATACATCTCAGTGTGACAACGGATGTGATAGATTTTTTATCGCTATACTTCCCAACACCGAGTACTATCCAGATATGTCTTGATACCAATCTATTACGATACATCGGGATTACTCATTGATCCGCATGTACTGAGCTATAATTTTTATTGCGACATATCGGGGTGTGACAATGGATCAGATAATTTTTCTATCGGGGTAATATCCCTTCCAATATTATTTCAATATAGCCTTATAAAACATGGTTTCGTGGCGTCTTGCGATACTGATATATTAAAATGAAACAAGACGGACGAAAGAGAAAAAACGAAAAATAAGCATATCGTTGTTGCTGTATGTATAAAAGAATGTGAGAAACGGTTTCTCGGTTTCCTTTATTACACTGTCATTTTTTTTTGTTATGTAATTAAAGAGCATACACTGATCAGTGTATGCTCTTTAATTACATAACAAATTTCACACCTTTATCAGTAATGTTTTCAAGTCCAGGATCTATGAGTGCCTTATTAATGGAGTGATTATGTCATTTTTTCTTCATTTTGTCGTGTCGATATATACTAAACCGAACTATGCAGAGAGTCACGAGACGTCTTAAATTGAAGAGAAAAGCCTTGTAAAGATTTTAAGACGTATCTGCACTCTAGAAAATACCTCTTTCTGATGATTGTAATAAAACATTGAGTACTACTTTTCAAAAATTCAAATTCTTCAAAATCGAAAAGTAGTACTCAATGTTTTATTACAATCATCAGAAAGAGGTATTTTCTAGAGTGCAGATACGTCTTAAAATCTTTACAAGGCTTTTTTCTTCAATTTAAGACGTCTCGTGACTCTCTGCATAGTTCGGTTTAGTATATATCGACACGACAAAATGAAGAAAAAACGTTACAGAATTTCCTTGCGGTAGCAGAGTTCGCTGGCCATGCCGAAGATCAGTAATTTATTGTACATTAAATTTATGAATAATTGGCGACTGAAAGGACTCTCCGTTAATGGTGCCTGCTATTTTATAATCTCATAATCGAAACTGATGAGAGATTCGAGCATGAAACATCGAAGAATAAAATGAAGATACTTCTATTACAACAATATGTATTTAATTACATATAAATTCGATCAGCAAACTGATGCATTATTTGGCTATTGATAGCAAGAAACGAACTACGATAATAATAACTATTAACTGATTCCAAACCATTAATCACTCAAAGTGCAATGAGGGCTGCGCGATTACAATCACAAAATGGAAAGTTCAAACAAGTCTATTATTCCTAGAATTCAGAATTTTAGAATTGTGAACTTTACATGTTCAGAATTCGTACATACATGTAAAGTTGCACACTCACCCTCGCCCCTAAAATTCTGAATTTTAGGAATAATAGGCTTGTTTGAACTTTACATGTTGTAATTGTAATCGCGCACCTCTGAATGCAATAGCATTTGTTATTATAACAAAAAGGAAACATCGGATGATTAGATTTACCATTTGAATGAGAATGTTGTCGGATAATGAAACGATCAAAATATTTATTAGAAAGAGATGTTTTTTGTCTTGTGCTACACAAATATAAAATGTTCAACACTATAAGATTATCCAGGTGATTACGGTTACACATAGCCTCGAAGCGTCGCAAGAAGATTGGTTAGTAAGTAACCGAAGTGATAATATTCTTAACTGACATCTATCTCAGGTAGTATCAGATAAATCACTTCAGTCTTAGTGTGCTTCGGTGTCTATTCACTAAAATCTACTAGTAAGATTACCTTGTGCCTATGATGTTCTTGAAGAAGAATTTCCTTGGTGACTGATCTTGTGGCTAGTAGTCCTCTAAACAAAGCTCTTTGTTGAAGCTGCACAAATACATTTTTAGGTGCTATATTACTCAACTTTTTTGTCTTGTAGAATGTAAATTTATGAACTTTTTCAATTTACTCTGCTAGAGTATGGTGTATGTGAAATGTACTTCCGTGGTGCAAACTTGTGAAAGTTCAACAACTTTACCAGAACAACATGTACCAGAAGCACAAACTTACTTTTGTATCTTAGGAGATAAATGAAAATAAATAATATCAGCAAATTACTTAACATAAAATTTCTCCGAAATGAATGAGCATTTCGATCCCAGAAGCCGCATCGTAATTCGTACTAAATTTTATTATATTTTCTGTCAGCTCCACCCATTCCGAAACATATAAGTTATTTTGAAGAGAAGCTAACTTACTTATAGACGGAGATATCGTGGTACAAGTTCTCAATCCTTCACATAATCTGTCTGATGCTACGGCAAAAAGAAGAAAGAACGACATTTCAAAATTTTTCGTGTCTGTGAATGTTACTTCTTTATCCGAAGATGATAAAAAAGTGCATGAATATTGTTAATGTAACGAGTTCTTTTGTTATGTAAGTATGGTGGCACTAGACTGTTCATTATTATAAAGTAGGTGACCGTATTGTACTAAAACTGATTCAACTGATAAAACAAACCACCAAACAGTCGTAAGAAGAAAGGGCGCGGCAGGATCCAGCTTGCAGGTAAGTAGCCTGCAGATCGGATCAAGGCAAGGTCGATCTGCGCATCTCTACTATGCTTCATCTGAGAACCTACCCCTCATTTTGTTTTGCACCGAATGCACCTAAGAATTTAGCCAGAGATCCACTAGACTGTTACGAACCATTTTTGGAATCTCTTTTCAACTCTCTACCTGCGGTTTAAGAGGTTCATTCAAAGTAAAATGACCTCGCCGAATAAGATCACAAATCTGGCCTCCTTGAAATCAAACTATTATATTATGGTTGGACAGAGGATCGTCAGGTACATCCGAACCTGTTGTCGGTTCTCTAAAATTGCTTGTCCTTGGGTGGGAAATCAAGTTTTTCTCATATAGTTTCCAGTGTTGTGTGATTTCACTTAGAAATGTTATAACTAAACAACGAAAGCAGGTATCGGAAAACGGTTTTCAGCAATAAACTTCGCACAAAATTCTACGCAAAATCATCTTTCTGTATCCGTAATAAACTTAACTCTTGTTCATTGAAAACACAAAACAACAACAAAAGAAAACAGAATCAGAAGGTAATAGTGAGACGAGATCGCATGCTGGTAGATCTTGCGAAACAAGATCAATAAGCTGCTGTTGTTGTGAGACTAGATGTTCGTGTTGACGAAGTAAACGATTAATTATATCGATTTTAGATGGGATGTGCTCTTTAATTGGCGTAATCAATCGACTAACTTGCGGAGATGAATTCATGTTTGGAATCATTGAAGTTGTTGCTGACGTTTGTTGTTCAATAGACGGACTTATTTTGCCATGCTCAATATCGCTCTGCCGCATATTGCCAAATACTTCCCTCAATTTTTTAATAATCTTGTTGTAATCCTCTTTCAATAACTTTTTCCATTGTGTTTGTGTTTTGTTTACTGATGAACGATAATTAATGATAATTTGATCGAAAATAGACGTTTCGTCAAGCAGTAATGTATCATCATTCGGTACGATAATAAAGGATTTAGATGTTGATTAGAAAAGAGCGAGAGAGTAGAAGTACAGAGGAAGAGCAAATGCTACACCTCTTTCTTTATAATAATTTGTAATATTAGTAGACCCCTGCCCCCTTAACGAAGGTTGCTTTTTGAGAATTTTTGCAAATTTTTTTAACTTTTTGCACCGTAGCCGAAGCGCAATAATGTTTTCTTTCTCTGAACGAAACAAGAAGTGGTTAATACAGATGTATGTGTCCGTTTGTCTATCTGTTCTCTTGCGGCCTATATAATGTGTTATGTAACGAAAACAGCGCCATATTGTGATTAAATTTTGATGCCTCTCTTTCTGACGCTCTCTTCTATGCACAGCAAATAAATCTTCTATTATTTTCGTAACTAAAATCTTTCTTAAACACTTATGGATAATGATTCAGTGATGAAAATACGGCGGTTTTGAACTGCGTGTTTTATTGATTAGGATACCAAAAAATATACTTCTCTAAGGGACACTACAGACCCTAAAATTTGTGAACGATAAGACACATTCCCGGGGTCTTCTAATGTGTCCATCCCTTTACATGAATTGAGCAAACAGATATTTTAAAAAACTATTGTGTTTTTCTTCTTTATTATAGTCT